AAAGCCATAAGAGCAAAGGTCGTCTCCTACACCGTTTGACCCCCAGCCGTGAGCCCCTGTGGGGGAGGGATGGTACCCTTCAGTGCTGGCCCAACCCACTCGCAGGTGAGTTAGCTCTGCGGTCACAAAAGGCTCCACTACAACCTCATAATACCACTTCTTGTATTGGGCACAGTCATCTCTTGCACACAGGAAGATGTTTGGAAGAACACTAAACAGAAATAACAAACAAAAATAATAAAATGTTCTATACCATTTTTATAAACATTTACACTCACAGTTGGTCAAGTTCTATATTATAACAGACTAAAATAATATTTTTTTAGATGCACTAAATACCTCTAAATGTACCTTTTACTATAAATTTGTGGTGTGGGAGTTGATAACAGATCACCTGAAAACTTGATTAACCAGTCTTGTCTGTAGCAGCAGGTCTCTTTCTGGCAGCAGTGTGTCACAAATCAAATGCTGATTAGAGAGGACGGCCATGCCATGACACACACAGGGTGAACACAACATGTCCAAGATCTAAAGATGAAAAAAAAAAAAAAAGTAAAAAAACATGCACAAACATGTTAAATAGTAATTAGTAAATGTTAATAGTACAATCCAGAAAGCACTGACCACAATAATTACAGTAAACAAATATACTAATGTTCAAAAGTTTAGGTTTAGTACGATTTTTAAAAAATAATAATACTTTTATTCAGCAAGTACACATTAAATAATTAAAAGTGACAGTAAAGGCATTTAAAATGTAACAACATATTTATATTATCTATTTCAAATAAATGCATTCTTATGATCTTTCTGTTCATCAAAGAATTCCAAAAAAATCTTATCGATTTTCACAAAAAAAATTATTAAGCAGCACAACTGTTTTCAACATAATAATAAGAAATTGAGAACCAAATCATCATATTAGAATGATTTTGATGGATCATGCGACACTGAAGGCTGGAGTAATGGCTGCTGAAAATTACATTTTAAAATATATAAGTGAGTTAAATTTAGTTATTTTTAATTATTATATTATTTCACACTGTTTTTACTGTATTTCTGATCAAATAAATGCACACCCCGGTACTGTACATGTTACCTTATGGTTCCTTCCATGTTTGACCAGGAGCGGGATGATAGATTTTATGTGACTTTCCTTAATGGCGTTCAAAGCTTCAGGACTTTCTACTAAAACACAATGTAACACTTCCAATATTCCTAAAAAAAGAAAAGTAACAAATAAGAGGGTGACGCATTAAAGCAATGTCTAGACTCTAAAATCAACTTATTCTAGTCACAATATGAGCTAAACAATTTTGCAAAACATCTACCAGAGGAAGCCTCCAGCCTCTCCAGTCTGCTGACCAGCCAGTCCAAGGAACCAGAAAAGTGGGCACAGTTATTCCGATTACCCCTGATTAGGGCAGCTGCAGGGAAAATAGAATTGTTAATAAAAGATAAACCTGAATTATAAATCTTGAAACATGAGTCATCCTATACCTAGCAGCTCATAAAAAGAGTTCAAGATCATTTCCCATGACTCTCCTGTCTCTTTCCCAGCAGCCTCTGCAAAATGAGTGGCACTGTTGTACACATGCAAGTGATCGATGCAGTCCAGCACCAGAGTGATTATACCCTGTGAAAAGCACAATGAAGCAGAATAAAAAAGTAAACAGTTCAGATATTATTGAACTGTATAGCAAGATATATGAGCTTTCTCATTCACCGCCGGTATTACCTCATCTTGGAAGAGATTTTGTCTGTTCTTCAGTGCTCTAATATCTCCCTGTCTGACCTCGTGGTCCTGACCCATTTCAGGACATTGAAAATAACCAAGCAAATCCTGGAGGGTCAGATGGACCATCTCAACTGGAAGATCCATATCAGTGATGTTTTGCTTCTGGCTGACATCATCTAACCCCCTTCAGAAGTGACGAAAATCATTACAAAACATAAATGTGCTTCTTTGAACCCTTTTTGGCCGTTTAAAAACATTTGGAAATAGAAATGCTGAAGCAAAGCTCACATAAGCACACATTATTTCATCTGCTACCACTGTACTATTTTCTATATTTACCTAATGAATTTTGAAAAGAGAAGGGCAGAGCTTCGAATTAAACAAGCAGCTTGTGGCTCCTCCCTCTGAGAGCAAGAGAGAGTGATTCCATCATCCATGTGACCTTCTGCTTGTAAAACAGCCTGTGAGAGAGAACCACTTCATTTCAATTATTTTAACGGGAATTCATATCAGGCAGAGCCAATAAAAAAGCAAGGTGTTTTGGCTTTGTTAACCTGTAGTTCCTGAGTTCACTGGAATTGTCTAATGTCCACTGCCTTTCAAATTTTGGGGGGTAGTAAGATTTTTTTTTTTGGAAGGAAGGAATGAAGGAAGGAAATTAATTATTTTATTCAGAAAGGATGCATTAAATTGATCAAAAGTGGCAGTAAATACATTTATAAAATAACTCATTTAAAAGATGATTACAAAAGATCCCTATTTCAGATAAATGCTGCTCTTATGAACTTTCTATTCATCAAAGAATCCTGAGAAAAAAAATGTAGTACAGTTTCCACTAACAAACCACAATCTTTTCAACATTAATAAATGTTTCTTGAGCACCAAATGAGCACATTAGAATGATTTCTGATGCTCTGTATTGTAAGTGTTCTTATCTAGTATGAATTTAGACCTTATTTTATTAATTTACATAAGTTTACCTGTCTCTGTGGCACACTTTCCTTCTGTCTCCTGGAGTCAGTGGTCTGATATGTGTGCCAAAGTCCAGTGTCAACTTGCTGAATGAAGCAGAGAGAGTCTCCATATTTGATCTCAGGTGCACCCATGCCATCTCTCCTCTTAAAGTGTGAGCTCTCCTGGCTCTCTTCCTATAAAATACAGAAAGAATAATGTTTATATTGATCATAATCAAAATTTATTACCACAACACACTCAAGTGTAGACAGGAAAATGATGTTGAGACTATACAATATAACAAAAAATGTGATTTATCTGGTAATGTTGTGTTTATGGCTGATATTATCCAACCTTTGATGCACGGAGACAGAATGCAGTACATTTAACATCAGCTCTCTCTTTTTCCACCAGCTGTAGTCCCCGATCATGAGTCAGTCCCAGGTATAATCCAGTGGAAAGGTGCCGAAGACGGAATGGCTGACCCCAGTGTGTGTGGCTGCCACTCCACCTGCAAATAATCCTTCACTAAAGCAATCTGACCAATACAGGAGGAATAAATATATACCTTTGACTAACTGTCATTCACTAACTAGCTGGAGGAATACCTACGCAACATGTAACGTTTCAAGCCTCCATAAAGATCCAGCTTTAAGAGATACTGAGCCCCCCTCAAAATCGACAGATCTGGAGGAAAAGAGGGAAAATGGTGAAATAGGATGTCATAAATGTAATTCAATCAGTTAGGTGACCTCTCTGACCTGCGTTCCTTCCATCTGTGTTTAGATGCTGGAATGGTCAAACATGTAGTAGACGCACAGTATCCCCCACCTCTCACATTACCTGCAGGTCAAAATCAAACAGATGAAACACTGACACACATTTTATTCAAACCTCCAGCAAAAATATTCAATTATAAAATATTACAAAAATAACTATAACAGTTTTTTATCTATTACAGATAGTACAAAATATTGTATTTACAATACACCCATATATATATATATATATATTATGACCATATATATATATATAATGTATATAAATATATACAAAAATTACAACAATTGACAAAATATTTTAAAAAACTGTCTATATAAAGTTTAAATATATATTTGTCTATATAACTTTTTGTTTGGCCATTTTGAAATACATCTGAAAACATCAATTTTTTACCATATGGTCACAGATTGCATAAATTTTAGGCAATGTATTTAGTCACTGAGCATAAAAATCAGCCATTAAGATCTAGACACTAAACAAATGTTTAAATGATTAATAACATGTGATTGGTCATCTACCCTGTGTCTCTGCCGTCTGAGTAGAAACAAGAGCCACACTCCACAATGTTTACTGGAAAGCAGCATCCACCCAGCCAATGCCATTGTCATTACCTTCACCGTTACTCCACAACACATGCTAGAAAGAGAGACAGGTTGTCACACTGCATAAAATATATAAATAGATATAAACAGATAACCATGAATGAATGAATGGATTTACTCACTAGATATCTCTCAGAGGAAACACTAACTATGAGATCATCACCCACTCTGACTTTCTCACCCTCTGATCTCTGTTTGGACGCAGGGTGGACACCTCACCTGAAACCATACAAAACCATCACAACATCAATAGTATGTCAGCCCTAGTCTTTATCAAACATGTATTCATACGAGAAGATTAAAACATTCACACTCATTTCACAGTATACAGGGGGAGAATATGAACTTACCCTTTGTGTCCTCCTGCAAACCAACATCAAAAGCCAGTTTGTGAGAGGAGAGGCCTGATGTGGACAGACAGCAAAGATACTAAAACAAGACAGAAGAGGTCTTTATTCACCCCCCAGAGCCGTGTGAGGCACGTTTTATCATGGATGCACACACTTTATTTGACGACTTGTGGACTGTTCAACTGCAACACCCGCTGACTACAATCTGGATTCGTCTGAAAGAAGAAAGTCATATACACCCAGGATGCTTCGAGGGTGAGTAAAACACAGTCTAATTTTCATTTTTGGGTAAACTAACCCTTTTTAAAGTGGGAAAGAAAGGGCTTTTCCATATTTGGTAAGTTACAGTGGAGAAAGCAAGCAAGGAAGAAAGAAAGAAAAGAAGAAAACAAACAAAAGCATCAAATAAAAAAAAAATAACATAATTAATGCGAATGATCAACTATACATTATACAAGTAAAAACATACTATATTATGCAAAACACTCTATTATGCATACATATTTTAGGCCTACATTATGTTAATTACACTTTATTCAAAACATTCAATAAAAAAGCAGAGACTTGGCCTTTTCATAAGTAAGGTTTATTTCATTTATGCCACTGTAAAACACACATTTGGCTTTCCTGTTCATAGAATTCAACAGCAGACATTCACAAATCAAAACTGATTTGATAGGTTAACAAATTGACCAAAAATCAATCAAATGCACTGTGTCAATCATTGTACACTGAACTAGTGTGACCTATAGAAATTTTCTGTATTCATATAAGCTTGACTGACACTCTGGGATTCACATACTTTTACACTCTTCACTGTGTATGGTTTACATGCGGTTCAATACAGACAAGAAAACAATTGTTTGTGTGTTAAGCAGGCTGTTTGTCTATCGTTCCAAACGGTTCACATACTTTAACCCACAACTGTAAATTTAGTATTTTATCATAATTTGTTTTTTGCTTTCTTTATTTGACAAGCCCTGTAGTAGTACATACATCAACACTTCATGTAATCACCAAATTGAAGAAAATGTTCAAGCATTCACAATATTCAAAATGGCATGTACAACTCACTAGTGAGGAGGACTAGGATCACCTCTTCCTAATTTATATAAACTTTTACTGTATATGAAATCAGGCACTGTTAGGTTTTTAGGTGATTATGCTGTTGAGAATAGAGCTATTCATGTGGCTTTTTTAAAACCAGGGACACTATAGTACACTATAGGAAAAAATAAGAGAAGCATAGTGGTTAGGTCAATCTTTCTCAATTTGGGCATAATTCAAATGTGCAAAATCTTACATACTGTAGGTTTAACACTACCACACAAAATAGATTTCGTTCTGGGATTGGAAAAGTTTAGAGAAAAATGCATAAAACCTAAAACTACTTAAACATATTTAATTCTGAATTTAGTGCAACTATAGATTTTGCTGTAATTCAAGTGACAAATTATTAATCATCTTTGTATATTTTCTCTGTATTATAATAGCCTACATGAAGGACAGTAAAAAAGTTTCGCATGCCTTGGATTCGACAATTTATGAGACAGTGAATCTAAAATTCACATTTTTTTGGATTGTTACAGATGAATAACCACTTTTTTTTTTTTTTTTTTACTTGCATTCTTTTCACTTCCAGACTGCATTCCATGTGTACTCACTTAAACATTTTATATCAATCATCTAGCAAAATACATCAAATGAGATTAAAAACTGAAATTGTGCTCATTTTGTTTATTTGCCATGTTTTCATTTCTTGAGGCTGTTGATCTGAAGGGTAAAGAATTTTCTTGGTTAACGAGTGAGGCGGGGTCGAAAAGGTCAGAGGTGTTGAGAGAGTTAAAGGTCACTCTCTCCGTACAGGGCTGTGGAGAAGGCAGTGTAGTCAAGGGCTCCAGGCAGAGCCCCGGGGCCGGAGTATGGGGGCATCCTGCTGATGCAGTACTCTGCCTGGTCTGGAGGAAGCTCTCGCCTCAACTCATCTGCCAGAATATATGGCTATTCAAAACACAATAAACAACAGATCAGATAATTTTTCAGGTGCAAAAGACTGTTCTGAAGAGAACTGTTAAGGTTAAGCAAGCAACACACACACCTTGTCTGCAGCGAGGATCCTGAAGGAAGCGATGACCTGTTCAGCTGTGTCTGTGTCCGCTGTCTCTCTTGTCATGAAGTCAATAAAAGACTGGAATGACACAATGCCTGAAGCATTTGGATCAACCAGCATCATGATCCGAGCAAACTCCACCTCACCCTGAAAAAACACACACACAGACATTTATAGCATTTAAATACTACTCCATCATTGTAGTGTGTTGAAATTCATTTGAGTATATGTATTTATTTATTTATATATATATATATGTTCATGAATGTAAATATTTATTCACAATCAGATATATAATCTGTATTTTTCCCAGGAAAAAATCTTAAAAATCCTTAAAACAAATGTTTTTGACAAACAAAATTGTATAAAATGAGATTTGTTTTAAGAAAATATATTCATTGCACTTAGTATAATTGTTTATAATTTACATAATTTTAGATTTTAATTAAGTTTATCTTTCTAACATCCCTGGCAAAATAGTTGTTTTTTGTTTTGAGCATGAACTTCACAAAATTGTATCCGATTTTATCTTTAAAAAAATTACCCAGCCATTAAATTTAAATGAATATAGCTAAATAATAACAATACTAAATTAATAAAATAAATATATTTGGCAAATTTGTTGTTTCTTGTTTTAAGCATGAACTTCACAAAACTTTATTAGATTTTATCTTTAAAAATAAAAAATGCCACTCTCATAAAATTAAAATTAACAGCAAAATAATAATAATACAAAATAAATTAAATATATTTTGCTTAGATATTTTATACTGGAAAACAACACAAAAATACTGCTTAAGAAACTTATTTTTTAGTTTGTAATCAATGAACCCTATTTAAGACCCTACCAGATCATAACCCATCGAGATCAGACAGGCCCTAAAGTCATCTGAATCCATCGCCCCATTCTTCTTCTGCATGGGAAAGGTTCAAGGGCAAAGTTTGAGGGTGTGTGGGTGATGCAGCAACATGGTTGGAATAATGAAGCAATGTGGAGTAGGGAAAGAGACAGCACCTAACACAGAAACACAAATAAAAAGACAGCACACAACCACGGACAGAAACATACAAAAGCAGAGGTACATTAGAACTATATTCTGCTGCCCAGGGAATGCATATGTATAAATCTATGCAAAGAATTACACATTGGGGTCAAGGGTTAGAGGTCATGTTGGTTAGTACCTGTTTGTCACTTCCTAAATGTCCAAGACTGATCAGACATGCTCGAAACTCATTAGGCCTGAGTTTACCCCTCTCCTCCTGAGAGCAAGTACCCACAACACACAAAACCATGCACAGGATGCGAGCAGAAATGAAGTAAAAGGTGATTGATAAAAATAGATAAAACAGCACAAAATCTCTTTATAAGGAATGAGTGCTATATTCAACATTTTATTAAAAATAGTTTCATTTAACTCTTTTAGCACAAACTGCATCTATTTCACATCTGATTTTAGACTAAATACTGCAAATGATCTCCCATTCCTTTAAATGAATGGAAAGATAATTGCCACTCTTGCAATGTGATGCCTCTGAAGAAGTGAAGGCAAGACATAACACAAAGCAAATATGAAATTAATATGTCTCAGCTGAAATAAAAGAGACTTACATATGTATGTATAATGCTCAGTCAAAGTGGAGAAGGGTTTAGTTTAGTTGGTATGGTTTAATGATGATTAGTATAGCATCCATTCAACAAGGAAACAAGCGAGTAGTTACGAGTTCATAAAGTCTGAGTACAGCACCCGATCAAAGTGGTTGAAAGAGGATCGGAATTCAATCATCTGCTCCTGGCTGATGCCTTTTGCATCACGTGTCAGAATTTGAGTCTCAATTTCATTAATAGTGCGAGCGATCGTAGTCAAAAGGAGCTCCCAGCCAACACGAATATGCTGCAGAGGAAAGAGAAATACTGTTGTAAAAATTAATTCACAATTAAGTGAGAATTCAAACATGCGTCACATACATTTCTATGTACACACCATTCAAAGGTTTAGGCATTTTTAATATTTTTGAAAGAAGTATCTTACTTTCATCAAGGCTGCATTCATTATTTTAATACATTTTCAAATGTAATTTATTTTTGTGATGCAAAGCTGATTTTTAAGCAGCTATTACTCACATGATCGTTCAGAAGTCATCCTAATATGCTGATTTGGTGCTCAAGAAACAATTCTTATTATTATCAGTGTTGAAAACATTTGTGCTGCATAATACTTTTGTGGAAATCAGATTCTTTTATGAATTAATTCAAAAGAAGAGCATTTATTTGAAATTGAAATCTTTTATAACATTATAAAATGTCTTTATTGTAACTTTTGATCAATTTAATGTGTCCTTGCTGGAAAAAAAGTTAATTGTGTGGATGTGTACCAAAGCTGATCAGGCATGCTTTAAACTCATCAGTCCTGAGTTTACCCCTCTCCTCCCGAGAGCAAGTACCCACAACAAACAAAAACATGCACAGAATGTGAGCAGAAATTATAAAACTAGAAGTGCTATATTCATCAAATTAGTGCCATTTAACTCTGATTTTAGCACAAATTGCATCTATTTCACATCTGATTTTAGACATACTAAATACTGCAAATGATCTCTCATGTCAAGCTAAATTTGTTCCACTAAATGAATGGAAAGATAATTACCACTCTTGCACTGTGATGCCTCTGAAGAAGTGAAGGCAAGACATAACACAAAGCAAATATGAAATTAATATGTCTCAGCTGAAATAAAAGAGACTTACATATGTATGTATAATGCTCAGTCAAAGTGGAGAAGGGTTTAGTTTAGTTGGTATGGTTTAATGATGATTAGTATAGCATCCATTCAACAAGGAAACAAGCGAGTAGTTACGAGTTCATAAAGTCTGAGTACAGCACCCGATCAAAGTGGTTGAAAGAGGATCGGAATTCAATCATCTGCTCCTGGCTGATGCCTTTTGCATCACGTGTCAGAATTTGAGTCTCAATTTCATTAATAGTGCGAGCGATCGTAGTCAAAAGGAGCTCCCAGCCAACACGAATATGCTGCAGAGGAAAGAGAAATACTGTTGTAAAAATTAATTCACAATTAAGTGAGAATTCAAACATGCGTCACATACATTTCTATGTACACACCATTCAAAGGTTTAGGCATTTTTAATATTTTTGAAAGAAGTATCTTACTTTCATCAAGGCTGCATTCATTATTTTAATACATTTTCAAATGTAATTTATTTTTGTGATGCAAAGCTGATTTTTAAGCAGCTATTACTCACATGATCGTTCAGAAGTCATCCTAATATGCTGATTTGGTGCTCAAGAAACAATTCTTATTATTATCAGTGTTGAAAACATTTGTGCTGCATAATACTTTTGTGGAAATCAGATTCTTTTATGAATTAATTCAAAAGAAGAGCATTTATTTGAAATTGAAATCTTTTATAACATTATAAAATGTCTTTATTGTAACTTTTGATCAATTTAATGTGTCCTTGCTGGAAAAAAAGTTAATTGTGTGGATGTGTACCTCCATAGTGTAGTTAGTATGTTTGTTGTCAAAGATAAGTGACTCCTGGATGAGTTGGTGATCTCCCTCCAGTCTGTCTATGTTGGGTTTATAGCTGACGATCACATGCTCATACTGCTTCAGCTGGGTCATCTGATCCTCCAAAGTCCCACCCGTCGCCATAGAACAATGACCAATTTCCTGATAGATAGATAGATAGATAGATAGATTATGGACGGACGGACGGACAGATAGACAGATAGATAGATAGATAAAAATGTCTAATTTTCATCATTCATTATCATTAGCACAGGTGATGGCTGAAGTCACCCACCTCCATCCTGGCCTGTATCCAGGGTCCGATGAGGTTGGCTTGGGCAGCAAACTGGCGTCTGAGCCTTTCGTTGGCATGCTGTTGCGCTAACTCCTCCTGCAGTGCACTGTCACGCTGGGGAACCAGCTTCTTCACCTGAACACACAAACACACATCATCATCATGATCATGATTTTGTTTTGAAGATTACAGGAATTGTTTAGAATGGCTTAGAATTAGATATTAGAAGATACATTTGAGTTTTAACTTTAAGAATATTTCTGTGCAGTAATGGAACAGAATGGATGTCTGATTTTTGTGTGTTTGACCTTGTCCCACTTGATGGCAATCTCTTCTGTAGTTATGGTGCTGTAGGGGTTGGTGAGGTCTCCACGAATGCCGTAATTCTGGGAGATCTTCAGGACTTCCTGCTGTATGCCAAGGATCGCCTGCCTTTCTGCATCTGCCTCAGGAAGTGTGGCCTTAAACTGCTCGTGAGCAGCTATCAGAGTCTACACACAATGGATAACTTGTTTTTATATAAATACTACTACCATTCAAAGTCTGAGGTCAGTACAATTTTTTCAAAGGAATTAATACTTTAATTCAGCAAGGATGCATTAATCTAATCAAAATGGCAGACTTTTACATTATTACAAAATATTTCTATTTCAAATAAATGTTGTTTTTTGGAACTTTGTGGTCTTTTTCTGTATTGATAATAAGAAATGTTCAAGCACCAAATCAGCTTATTAAAATAATTTCTGAAGGATCATGTGACGCTGAATCCTGGAGTAATAGCTGATGAAAATTCAGCTTTGCCATCATAGGAATAAAAAATAAATTTTAAAACAGTTATTAAATTGTAATAATATTTTACAATATACCATTTTACTGTATTTTTATATAATAAAATAAATGCATCCTTGGTGAGCATAAGAAACTTCTTTCAAAACCTTAGAAAAAGTCAGAAAGTAATACATATGTGACAGCTGGGACTGTGGAAATCCTAGTCTGTTTCACAACATAAGAATGTAAAAATAGTTGTGTGTACCTGGACCTCTTCAATGGTGTGCACTATGAACATATCCTGTAAGTCTTCCATGGCTCCCTCCATCCAGTTATTAAAGGGTGCAGATCTCTTTGCGTATTCCAGAAACAACTGCTCCACCGTCTCCAAAAGTTTCTCAGTCCTCTGTAAAAATGTAACACTGATTCAAACCTTTTGCTTTCTTTAATACTTTGATTTATCTAAAATTTATAGTACATAAGTTGTGACACAGACAGCATACCTCCAAAGACTCTCTGCGTTTCTGAGTGAGTGTACCCAGTTGGTCCCAGAGGTCACAAATACTTTGACACTTTTGATTCACTGATGCAACATCATGATAGTCCAGCTCACTTTAGAAATATAAAAGAGAAGATAAAAGATAAAAGACTTTATACCACAATATTGCATTTGCTATTGAGTCTGTCCCCCTCTAGTGGTAAACAAATGTAGTACTCACTAACTTTACATTGGTGTGGAATATTCTAGACTTTTGTATCATTTTCTTTCCATGTAGACCATTTGATAATGTTAGTCAAGGTTTCTTGGATTAAAAAAAGTTGTAATTTCGTTTTTCATAAGCATTTTCCACTCTCTCTCTAAAGGCATACACTACACAGTTTTTGCCCCGATTTACAGTTTTGGGTAAGTTGACGCTAGTTGCCAAAAGTTAGAGCCAGTCTGCAGACTTGAGTTGACAGATTTTGTAGAAAAGCGCATAGTGTATGATGGTCACAGACTCCGATTTTTTTAGCTTCAGACTATGATTCCATCAAGTTGGTGGATATCAAACATGTTTTTAGAATTTGTCACGCGTCTCCTAGCAACAAGACACACATTTCTGCCTGAGTTGGCTGTGATTGGAACGACTTTAAAGTCTGCTAGTGTATGATCCTCAGTCATTTAGTGTATAATGGCAAGTTTTTCGTCAGTATCTATTACAAAGTCGGTAAGTGTATGATGCCCAGTATTTTAAGATCTGTTCTGTTTTTAAAAGTTGTGTAGTGTATTCCAGCCTGTTTTGATAACTCTAAAATTATTTTCTGTTTGCTTTTTGTGTCTAAATTAACATTAGTATGCTAATCATCATAAGTATGCTCCATAGTTTATAAGTAATATCACCCTGTACCTACTGAGACTACATAAAGGTCAGAATCTGTCAGTCAAATACCAAATGCATGCACACACACACACACACACTCTAACCAGGCCTGCAGGGAGATAATGAATGTTAAAATAGAAAGTCTGCGATTCAAGCACCAAAGTATGCTGTAAGCATGGTGCATGTATATGTGTGTCTAGCTATGGATAAGTAGTGTAAGAGATATGAAGCTATTAAGACCCTGTAAGGTGATGAGAAACTGAACATGACAGGTTAGTTACAAGGACAAAGAACTTGTGCACTACATCCAAACATCTGACATTGGTAAGATCATTTTCAATGTCTCTTTTGCTCAACAAAAGCATTTATTTGAAGAAAATACAATAAAAACAGTCATATTGTGAAATATTAATTTAAAATATGTTCATATTTTTTAAAATGTAGTGTATTCTTGTAATGGGAAAGCTGAATTTTCAGCAGCAATTACTCCAGTCTTCAGTGTCCAATGATTTTTTAGAAATCACTCTAATATGCTGATTTGGTGTAGTAACACTCAAGTAACACTCTTATAATTATCAATGTTGAGAACAGTTGAGCTGCTTAACAGCTTTGTGGAAACCGTGATACATTTTTTAAAGAATTCTTTGATGAATATAAAGTAAAAAAAACAACAACATCTATTTAAAATAAATGATTTTTGTAATAATGTAAAAGTCTTTACTGTCACTTTTGATCAATTTAATGAATCCTTGCTGAATAAAAGTCTTAATTTAAAAAAATGTATATTACTGACCCCAAGCTTTTGAATGTCAATGCACATACCAAAGTATACATTAAAATGAACAGCTAAATTAAATGAAGATCAGCAAAGAAAGTCGAAGTATTTTTGAAGATGATAAATCTAAAAGATCATACTTGAGCTCCTGAGCAATAGCAGCAATCTGCTCAACTCTGTCCTGGTGGGCGGAAAGGTCACTCTCAAATGCCTCGTGTTTCCTCAGCAAAGCTCGGACTTCCATTAAAGATGCTGACTCGTAGTCCTTCCGGGTCAACATCTCCTCCTTACCTATTGCAAAACACACATAAAGCATATATTAAGCATAATTTAGTGAACTTTCTTATTCAAAGTGGCTTATAGTTCTTTTTTAATTAAGTGCAGAATGCTGGTATTTTATTGATGACACCACTTAATGTTCAGGACTCACCTGCAGCCCAGGTCTCATGGTTGGTAGCTTTCTGCCTGAATTTCTCTGCTAGATGGTCCAATCTTTCCAGTCTCCTGATCTCCGTCAGCAGCCATTCCTCATAGCCCTTCTCTGCCTGGTCCAGCCCCTGCCACGCACTTGCTATGTCCTAAACAGACAAACACAAACCAAATCATCAACAATGAAACCATTGAGAAACTTTAAGCATGTTCGCCTTACTGTTTTATAAGTGTATGTGTTTGTGACCAATATACCTATAAATCTACATTTTTTGAGAAATAATTTGCTGAAAAATGCCCACCAAAGCTAGCTAGTTAGATGAATAAAAATAAAATAAATATAAAATGCATATTAATATAAAAACAATTAAAATAAATAAATCAATACATTAAATATGTATTGATTTATTAAATACGGTAAAATATAACAAGCATAAATAAAATAAATATTAAATAAGATTATTAAATATAAAAATAAAAAACTATAAATGTTAAATAAATCAATAAATTAAATCAATACAACATAATAAACAAATTAAATTAAAAAAATAGAAAATACATATTAAAATAAAAACTATTAAAATAAATCAATAAATAATACAAAAAATAAATCAATAAATAATACAATACATATACATACATATAGACATCTAAGTAAAGATGTGTCACATGTGTCAAGCTCTCACCGAAACCATCTTGCCCTCAGAGGGCATAAACGCAGGCCGGTTGCTAATGCGGAGTTTAGTCTGAAGAGTGTTGAAGCTGATTTCCAATTGACACTTCTCCTGCACTTTGGGAGGTTTGTGCATCCTGCGGTAATCTCGGAAATCCTCCAGCTTCCGCTGCATCTCTGACATGGTCTTCTCCGGCACACGATTCTCGAGCCAGGGAATGGTACGTCTGATCCACTCCAGCAGCTACAGAATAGAGGAAATATTTAGGTTAAATATGTGTGCAGTGTGTGGAGTGTATCTGATGTGTGTTTAACTACAATATGTCTCCTGACCTCACTAGCCAGTCTTTCATAATCCTCCATCAACTTCTCATTTTCCTGATTCACTCCCAGCACCTTACAGATCCTGTTAGCAGCGGTTTCAGCCTGAGGGAGAGAAACATAGTTAGAACTAAGGTAGAGATGAATGGAAAGATAATTGATCTGCTCAATCTAGCACACGATACCTGTTCAGCTCCAGCAAAGGCATGGTAGAAGCAGGACACATATGTCATAATTGCTCTCTCATCAGGCTTGGGGGTGTTCAGGATGTCTGCAGGGAGAGGAGATGAGTTAAGGGACATCTCCATTAAGTGAAGGTGGAAATAAGGTGTGATGGAAGAAAATATAAATACCACAAGGAAACACAAGTCATGTTCATCTGCTAAAGTGGAAAATGAGGATACGCCT